CAATACAGCTCTGGACTATGTGTTACAATGTTTTATTATTGCAGTTCACTGGGGCTTTTTACATGGACTTAGTTCTAAAAATGCTCAGGCTGCCTTTTTTTATAATGTGCTTTTTAACATACCTATATTATATAGGAATGCACTTCTTCTGCTCTTGATTATTTCTTAATATGTGTATTAGAGCAAAGGCAGCCAAACTACATATGCTGTAGATTATTAGGAGGCCTGCGTGGATTGCTTCACTCCTAAGTATATTGCTGAGGCTAAAATTGCTTTCAGATACTATAGTTGCCAAAAAATTGGATTATGTTATTTTATTTACAGCAAAGATGCTATGAACAATGCAAAAGAGCTGGGAAATCACTGGCAGTGCAACTGAAGGAGCAACAGATAGGCATCATAAGGCATTAATTAAAAATCCTCAAGATACTAATTTGAGGTTGCCTCAAACCTCAGAATCCGTATCAGGATTATAAAGAGCTCCACATTCAGTGGCTGTGTGTATGTATTTATACTTGTACCCAAGTTCAGGGGCCAGAGGGTTTGTTTCGACCATCGTTGTGTCCTTTTACAAATCTGTTTCAGTCACGGATCTTAAATTTGGGCATCCTGAATTTTAAGTCTATTATTTAGCTGAGTCTTATGACCCAACAATGTATTCAGAATACTATATTTCTGTGCACTGAACTGAGCTGCTTGCTGCCCCTGCAAAACAAATTGGGAATGTTAATGTTTACATAAGTTGCCAAAACGGAGTAAAAACATCCATAACTGAAGCAGAGATCCAGGCTGAGATTCTGGTTTAGATCAAAGCTGCAACTGGATGTAATGAAGAAGGGAAACTGCAGGTAACTCTGCAGCTTTCTTACTAAATGCCAGTCCTAGTGTGATCTCAATCCCGGGCATCTCTTTTTATCTCTCAGCTTGCCCCATCATACCCATGCCTCCTAATCTTGAAGAGTGGGATGCAGCTTGCTTTCAGTACACCATGGAAAGTGAAGTGCAGATAGTAAGCTCCGTCTACAGAAAATAATTGGAGTCCAATGGCCCGCGATCTTCAACTCTAGCGAGGCACCACACTGGTCAGTAAAACAGATTAATATTGAATTGACCTGAAATAAGACATTTAGACTTTGTTCAACAAAATTAAGCATCTCAATATGAGGCAACCTAATAGAAAATGTAAACATTTTGACATGGAAAGCATGTCTTTTGTGCGACCTTCATTTTCTATTTGGGGAGGGGGGAACATTTGGACGAACACTTCATGATCAATGGCAATAAGCATTTATTCGGCTTGAATTTTACCTGAATGCAAGGAGCTTGACAATTATCCTATTTTTTTGTTTTAGCCATGTTTTACCATTTCAGAACTTCACTGATTTAACTGGAAAACGCAAAAATGTTGTAAAATGTGGAGCCAAAAACCTTTTTTGGCTAATTATTAAATGATTTTGTCCGCACCCCAGTGACAGAGGCCGGGTAGGGCCTGACATGGATTAGATAACAGAAATCTTTAAGATACCTACACCTGGCCCTTCCATGGGATTACCTGGATTCAAACCGAAATGTAAATTTACATTCAAACTTCTGCCGAAGGAGCCGTCAAAGAATTTGGGCAAAATGTTGCCACAGGGAACCCTTCCCTTGTGAACGTCTCATTAAAGGATGAAAATGAATAAATGTGTTTCACTCCCAGTGCTGCAGGCGGCACCTCCCGTCAGTAAAGCCTGGCATCTTCCAGGTCTTGATGCTGCAGGCTGCATTTGTGCTCTCATTAGCACCGTGGCTGATCCTGTGCTTGTGCTGGGGGCCGTTCAACGAAACTGCGAGACGTGTGTGCCCAGCAAAGCAGCAGCTGCCAGCTCAGTGTTAAAGATACCCCATCCATTGGCAACCCTGACCCCCAGGCTACCCTATGCCCTTCCTGCCTTGAAACAACATTGGGGAAACACCTGGGTCTTTCCCAAGCTGGTGGTTCAATCACCGAGGCAGCCGACGGTGGCCGTCCCGCACCTGGGGGAGACGCACAGTCCCTGCCGTGGGTCACAATGGGGCTGAGGTCACAATGCCCGGGCCCTGCCGGGCAGCTCCACTGAACAGGGACTGACCTGCAGCAGCTTTGCCGGAGCCCCCGTGTCCCCTCCGGTGCCTGCAGCCCCCAGCGCAGCTCCTCCACGCTGCTTTTCGTCCCTGCCTCCTGCCTGCTTGGGTGGTTCCCCATTTTTGTGCCTCCTTTGGGTGAGTCCCAGGTTGAAACTCCAGGCTCCACAGCCCAGGGGCCTTTCCGTCAGGAGGTGGAGGAGCAGGTGCCTCCTCATCCAAAAGGGGGGTGGTTTAATTACAAAAAAAAAAAAAATCCCTTAAAACAATGGGTGTTTTCTTCTCTCAGGGCTGTAGCGCCTGCTTTCTCTGGCTGCTATGGGCTAGAGAATGAGAAGAAAAATCCAAATTAGCCACCCGGGTCCAGAGTAAGAACTTGGTCCTAGGCCCTCTTAGGCAGGGGTTGCAGCTCGCTGCACATCTGCATCCCCACAGCTGGCCAGGCTCGAAGACATCACCGCAGGGCTGCTCCTGTTGAAGCATTGGCCGGTCCAGATGCACAAGATGCAGCCTTTCCAAGTGAACGATATGATCTCTTCAATATTACTAATATGCAGCAATGTTTCCTTAAGTTACTCTGCAGTTCAGCTCTTCCTCAGGCACTTCTCTCGGCTTTAAAGTGATAATTAAATGGTAGCTCTCCAGTTCCATTCACCCTGGCTCTGACCCCCCATTTTGTGACATAACCAAGGGCTCTAGGGCAGTGGTTCTCAACCTTTTTTGTATAAGGACCCATTTTTTTGTCCCAGTACTCCTTACTCCTGACCCACGGCCCCCAGCCCCAATATGTAGGGCAGAGGGGAGCAAGCATCCCTTAGCAGGCTGGAGCTCTGCCAGCCTGCAAGACTAAAGCCACTAATTTCCCATGTTCTTCTTTAAAGGAGAATCCATTTTTAAAGTTTGTTCACGACTGTTTCATATATTCCTGCAACCCTCTTCTGGGTTGCGACCCACAGGTTGAGAAACTTTAGTCTAGGGTTCAGCACAATGGGATACAGCAGCTGCTTAACGCCACTGCATACCGGACCTCGGGCCTGGAGGTGAAGAACACATCCAATACAAAGGGCCATTTTTTTCCATAATAGTTATTTCGTCATTTCCTCCCCTGCCAAAACAGTCATTCAGGCACCCATGTGAACATGTTTGTTCCTACAGAAAGTGCCTTGGGAACCTGCTGTTTTTCCCAGGTAAAAGTGTGTGTTGTTGCTGGGCCACTCCAAAACTAGAGCTGGGCAAAGTGCAAATGGCCCCAAGCAGGCACCATTTGCAAAAACCTTTGATGATTCTGTGGGCTGTTAACAAGTACGATATTGCTTACCAGGTTTTTATGCCAGTGTATTTCCTTTGAGGCTAATAAACTTCTGATTTATGGTACTGTGAGTGAGGGGTTTTTTATTTTTATGCTATGAGCATGCACTGATGGGTATGTAACACATGTAATGTGAAAATGCAGCGGTGTGACCAAGACATCACTATTCGAGCACAGGTCTTGCATTGGCTTCTGCATCTGTAGAAGAAAATTGTTCTGCTGGTGGTGTTGGTTGTACCCTCTTTCTTCACTCCAGTGTTACGTGTGGCATAAGTGTCAGCAGGGGTAAAGGGGGTAGGAACTGCTCTTTATAACAACTGCAGTGCAGATGTTTCCTTGCCCATACCTCACCCTGTTGTCTTTATTCCTAATATGTAGCTGACACTTGAGCTTCCTCACTTTCAGGCTGCTGTTCGTACTGTCTTTCCCTAGAGCCGTTCCCTTCTCTCTCACATCGTTGCCTTAAGCTTGAATTTTACTTTGTAATCATATCCTTCTCCCCCTACTGTAAATTGTGTTTTCAAGGCAATAACATTTTAGCTCCTTTTGTCACTCCAGTGGTTACGGCAAATTTATTACCTTTCAGGGCTCTTGCTCTAGTGAGTGTCTCTATTTGTAGCCTTCATTTTACATATCGCTCTTCCTCGAAGTACTTCCAAGGTTGTCAGCGTGTGCTTGGTTTGAGAACGCTGTTGCCGTACGAGCTCACATTTATATCAGCTTCCTCACCGCAATCCACCTTAGCAGCAGACTCGCTGCTTTTTTTGGAAAACATCCCTTTTTGTGCCTGGAAGATTTTCAACTTGTTCTTTAAGGGCTGACTTTATACTCGTAGATGCATTCTTGTGGCACATCAGTGCATTTTATTTGCTCTAGTTTCTTTGAATCATTTTATAGGCAGATATTTGATCACATTTAACTGCTGTCTAGATTTTCATAACCAGCAGATGCACGCTGGTCACTTTAATGCTGACTTCTGTTTTATACAGATACAGCTATCACTACAATATTTGCAGCTGTTGCTTGTAGGCAGTACCAAGCATAGCACAAATATAGAGCTAGTACTATCTATGTACTGAGGCAAGATCTAAAACCTTAACATTATTGAGCTAAGGTATTATTTGAAATATTTGACTTGGATGTAAGAGAAACTTTTGGACATATGAATAATGCAAAAAATAACACGTTTACCTAGCTGGTCTGCTCCCAGTTGATGCTATTTATACATGAGATATACTGCAAAGCTCCATTCCACGTGTGCTAATATTACTTCACGTAAAACAGGGGATCTATTATGTAGCTCTCTATACGTTTTTAATATTCTTGTGCATGAGACTGTTCAGTAGAAAACAACACTATTAAAACAGCAGGATAGTATTTTTGTTCTTGATTATATTGGAGTGACGTGACTGACATGTGGCTTCAGTGGAATTAACTTTTGAGTTTACACTAACGTAATACATAAGCTGACTTTGGCCCATTAGCTTCCTCTTAAAACAGGCTATTGCTTATTTTTCATGCTATAAATGTATAGTGAATGACTTGAGATGAGAGTTTAGGTATCCATGTCCCTTTTGTTTCAGTAAGGGAGAGCATGAAACCAATCCGAAAATATGTGGATGCGTGCAACCCCCTGCTACCTGGATATACAGGTAAATACTGTTTGGCTCTCCTTTCTCAGCCCTAAATCCAACTGAACTGTCCAGGGGAGAACTGCCTGCATTAGGGGAAATCCTCTGATGACAGACCTGCAATAGCAACCCCTATACTACTCCTTTCACAGGGACTGGGTTTGTGATGAGAGGAACGTAAGCATGGTTTAAAATCACCACTCAGCATGGCTGGCTGGGAGACCCTGGTACAGAATGACAGCGCTGATTTTGAATTCATTTAATTGCATTAATTAGTTAGCTGATGGGGGACACACATATGCAACAGTTTGATAAAGACCCAAACCACTCTAATGTTCATTTTTGATTTAGATCCAGGATTTTGTAGACATTTTTTCAGTTTAGATCAGGGCTGTCCAACTGACAGCTTGTGGATTGTATGTAGCCCCCAAAGGGTTAGCATGCAGCGCGCACGCAGGAGGTTAGCCCTATTTCCTTAGCGTTTAACATAGTCAAAGCATTCAGGCTGAATGTTAAATATTACCTGATGCATTATACAACCATTCCTTATAATGAAAGTAAGTATGTACATGATAAAATTTGCTTTGGGACTTGAACTTCTGCATGAAATAATTGCTTCTATTGCTATAGAGCAGTTTTGTTCTACCATTAATACAACCGTGATTTGCAGCAAGTCCAGAATGAAAGATCTGTAAATAATCATAACTAAGGGCTATAAAATACAACGACTAGTATCAGCTTACCCCATTGATATATAGGACATGCGCCTTATTCACTGTTAGAGAAATTCACATAATAAAGTGCTTTGTCATAAAGGGATTGTACACACATAGCCCTTGCCAAAATGTGTTTTATTCTTAAGGTTATATTTCAAAACTAAGGAGGTCACAGTTCTTGTTATCAAGTACATAAATATACAAGAAATCATTTGAAGAGCTAAGCATGGCAGATAATTAAGTGTTTGATTATTTACCTCTGACTTTAAATGCTTATATACTTTTCTATTAGATCCTGGGAAATTTATAAAAAAATTTGCTAACATTGCAGGCTACATCCCTCAAAGGTGCGATAGAGTTGGCACTAGTTATGGAAATGATTCATTTGTGTGTATGACCTCCATGTACAATGCTGTCCAAAGAAACAACGACAAGAAGGATGAGCTAAGATACATAGCAGCCACTACACCCCGACTTCCACCTATCTGCTGCAATGAAGATGTTTTACAAGCCCTTTATGAGTATAATTATAAACACCATCCTTATATGCTAGGTACTGTATTTAACTTGTAAAGAACGTGATTTCAGCTAAACATTCAATTAATGTTACTAGTACAATGTGAAATATAATTACAGTCTTCAAGGACACATTTAAGAACCAGATTTTGCCTTCAGGCTTGCTAGTGTATGGCCCTGATTTCAATGGGAATTGCACACGTGTCCAGTCAGAGACAAAATTCGGCCTTTTCACCTTCTATTTCTTTTCTAAGCCTTGGGAAGCCTTAATTCGGTACATTTACAGGTGCACACTTCTTGATGCGAAAGGATTTCCATGGGTCTTGCACCAATTCTAATTGTGTTGCATAAATGGGAGTGCAAACAGATTCAGCCTGTGACATGTCCACAAAGCAAGCTACTCTCTAAAAACCACAGCCTGCATTTCAAGTCTGGTGCTAATAACCACAGAGAAAAAGCATAAAATTGAGCCAAAAGAAGAGCTGTTTCCAGAGTGTGAGATCTGACTTTCTCAGAGGTCTCTCTCCTGTTTTCCAAACAACTGTCCTAACCCCCATCTGAACGTCTCTGCAATGTGAGGGGAGGCTGAGTTGGAGTTCCTTTATTTTGTGGAAAAGTGGCCTGTGTTTCCGAACTGCTGCGCACCGACAGCTCAAATAAACTGTGATGGGATCTGCAGAAGTTCCTTGTCACTGAAAATCGAGTCTCTTACTTTGGTATCTAATCTTAAGACATTTCAGTTATGACATTTTTGCCTGCTTTGTTAGGACTGGATCCTGCCATCTGTGTGTCACAAGTAAAGTACCTTATGGAGAAAGTGACCCTGTGCTAAAATATTACTCAAATGCAGAGGGGTGTGGGGGCAATGTAGT